ATATTGGTTTTGCTTAATAAAAAGCAATTCAACAGGTGAGTCACCTTAGTATTGCGGAGTGTGGTTTTGGCTTTTTCTGATGGGGGCTAGTTTTTCATTAAAGGCAATATCTAGCACTGAATAGAAATAGACACAGTACCTAGTCCCAGCCACTTGCTTCCTGGTGAGTCAGTTCAAGTTCTCACAATTGTGTCTGTGTCCAGCCCCAGAGCAGCTGAGCTGGGTTCTGTTCTCACCCAGATCTTTCCTTAAAAGAGGACGGACAGGGAAACCACTGCCCTCTTTCACATCCAGGGAAGGAGCGACTTCTAAGAGAAATAGGGTTTTGTATCCTCGCCAAAGCGTCAGCAAGGATCAAACGTGAAAAACAGAGGGCAAATCCGTGTTTGTGCATCATTAAGTGGGTGTTGTTTCTAAAGTGGTCACGTGGTAACACTTCCTCCGCTCGCTGACCCACCAGGAGTGTTTTGGAAACAGACCATGTGAAATGGGCTGAAGATATCCCAGTGCTCTCCTCTCAGTAGCTGTGAGCCCCCAGTCAGGACGGGTTGTTTTAGCCTTTAAACGTCCACAGGGCCAGAGCCTATATTTAACTGATGACACATCTTACGAGGGGGAAGGGATGGGGAATGCGTGACCCTGTTTCCTCCCACCAACACCAGCCCATGCACACAGAGCCTCTGGAAGGTCTCCCCGGCAGTACTCCTTGAAACTTACCCAATGTGCCCCACTCAAGGGCCCTCCCAGGCTTGTGGGAACAGAAAAGATTTCTTGAAATGGAAAGGAGGGTTGCAAATGAGTGAGGAAATTCAGCATGGAGATATGAGAGGCTCACTTCTTAGCCACATGGAACCAGGGACTCCAAGGCAACCCCGTTCCCAGAGTTCTTTCGAGGGCAGAGCTAATGACATGGGACCTAGAATTGACTCCAGGAAAGGGCTTGGTGATGTGTGGCCTCCCAGACAGCCTCAGAGCAAGCAGGTGGATTTGACTTGGGCAGTGGGGAAGGCAACAGCCTCTAGATATTTTTCCATCTTGATGCTGAGTCAGACAAGGCTCAGTTCTTTCCAGAACCCCTGCCAGCATTCTCTTTTTCAAAAAAAAAATCTTTGCAAATTTTGCTTTAGTGCATTTCTGCCAAGGGGTCATTTTCTATGTTGTACTTCCTCCCTGTGTGAGGGCAAGGATAATATAGCCTTGTGTAGATTGTACATACGCTTCATTTCCCAGCTATGCCACATTGAGACCTCAATAAAAGAGGTTTGATTGCAATCAGAAAAGAGTTGATTTGTTTTAAAGGAAATGACATGGGTACAGTGCTCACCAGAAAGTATTAAAACGGCATTTGTTGCTTATTATTGGTAGTTAATGTTGTGATATTGCTACTGATGCTGAACGAGGATCCAAGACCCAGGGTGAGGTTTAGCATGGGCTGGCCTCAGCAGAACTGAGAGGACATCAATAAAGGGGAGAACAGAGAGAAGGAAGGAGGACAAGTGCCAATTTTGAGCAGGTATCAGGTGTGTGTGTGGGGGGCAGACCATTTCTCCATCCACCCTGAGAATGAGTCCCCCTTTCCCTTTTTAAGGCCTGATTTTTGTACCCTCCCCTATCATAGGCGACCAGGGCCCCACACTGCAATACTCCTAGGCGACATCCATACTGTTTTGTTTGTTTGTTTGTTTGTTTGTTTGTTTTTTGAGATGGAGTCTCGCACTGTCACCCAGGCTGGAGTGCAATGGCAAGATCTCGGCTCACTGCAACCTCCGGCTCCTAGGTTCACGAGATTCTCCTGCCTCAGCCTCCCGAGTAACTGGGATTACAGGCACACACCACCACACCCGGCCAATTTTTTGTATTTTTAGTAGAGACAGAGTTTCATTATATTGGCCAGACTGGCCTCGAACTCCTGACCTCGTGATCCGCCCGCCTTGGCGTCCCAAAGTGCTGGGATTACAGGTGTGAGCCACCGTACCTGGCTGACATCCATACTCTTGATCTGTTCTTCCACCCACAGTACAACTTATCTGGCCAGGCTCTCATTCCTTCATTACACAGCTTTCTGCTAGGAATCAGATAACTACTATAAGGATGATACTAATGATTAATGGAAGCTTCATGGAGCCTCCCAGGAAGATCACGTTTGTGGTTAATATTCCAAAGGCTACTGATAGGGATTTCTCAATCTAACGTGAGTCTGAAAGGGAGATGATTTTCATCAGAGCTATTCTCAGGACTCTTTAAATCAGGCCCTCAAGCTCTTATCTTCTTTGCCTGTGTATAGAGTCAACCCTTAAAGCAAGTTAACAGTGTCCCCATATATTTAGGAATTCTCAGAATCCTTGGATTTGTTCATACTAAGCTACCATTAAATACTGATTTTTTAAAAACATCTTTGGGCTCACTTTTCACCATCTGTAAAATGGATATATAACATAAATCCATTCTGTATCTTTAATCGTGTCTTATCCTAGATGAATAAACATATGAAAAATCAGCCTGTAAATCAGAGAATGTAGCTGTGTTAACTGGAGATGGGAAAGGGGAACAGGTAGAATTTATATTATCATTAGTCATGACTAAAGCCAAACTTAGCAGTTTTAAAATTATTAAACCATCCTGATTGCATATGGGAATCAAATGGGAATTTTTCTTTTCAGTACCAATTCTTAGGCCCCATCCCCAAAGATTCTGATTCAATCGTCATGATGTAAGATCTGAGCATCAGAATTTGTTTAAAGTTCCTAAGGTAATTCTCTTGTGCCACCAAGACTGAGAACCAGTGTTTTACACTAGTATTGGGAATACACAGTAGCTGAAAAACTGGCATCATATTAGATGGGTCTTGGTTGTGATCATGAGCTGAGGAGAGCTCTATATTCTGGAAGTACTCAGCAAAGGGGTTCAATGGGGTTCACACCATGGTTGCAGTTTAGGGGAAAGAACCCTTGGAGAGAAAGCAAGAATCACAGGAATCACTGAATCATGGGTTAGAGGAGCCCTCCAAAATCACCTCCTTCAATCTTCTTCCTAATTTCTGTGTGAGCACTGGCCATTTAATTTATGTTTCTGGCCCTCGGTTCCCCTGTCCATTAAATAAACTGGTTGAATTAAATACAATCGGAGCGTTTTCCAGTTTTTATCCTGTGATTCTAAGAGAGTTTCCAGCATCAGAAGGAAAACAAGCTACAGTTACACAGCTGTGTTGATATTCTCTGCTTATTCCCAGTTGCCCTGGGACATCGTCTGAGCCACAAGCCCCCTGGCTCCAGCTTCTCCGCCGCCGCCGGCCAGATGCCAGCCTGAGCTTCTGAGTGGCAGCTGGAGCTCCACCCTCAGGTCCTCCCTCCCAGCCTTCTCTGGCAGGATGAAAGGTTTTGTGTAATTCTTGTAAATGCAGCCTATTTTAATTGCAGAAGCAGCCTCCAAGTGTTTTTTTCTGCTCTCCGGCAAGCACGTGACCTGACCACTGCTGCTATCTGGAAAGGAAGTGGTGGAATGTGGAAGTTTACAGGGCGTTCGTGTACACACATCTTCTGGTCCAGAGCCTGTGGAATCCAGCCAGCTGTTGCTGTGCCACTGTGTTCTCTGGCCCCCTCTCAGCGGCCTTGGGCAGCCTGGGAGTCTCCCGCTTCGTGCTTTTCTGAAGGGACAGGCCTTTGAGCAGAGTTTTAGGAAGTTGATCAAAACAGCAACAACAACAAAATGTTTATAGTTTACATCCTATGCAGCTGTCTCTGCACTAAGAGTGCCACACGTGGTCTCTCCAGACTGCAGGCTCTGACCAGAATCCACTGGAAGGGGAATCATCCCAGCCAATAGCCTAGTACAAATTGTCCTATCCAGTGTACAGACTTACTGGAAAAGCATCACATCTGCCCCAAACTTAAGATAAGAGTACCCTGATAAGGGACAGGCTTGAGGCTCTGACAGAAAAGGAGTTTGGGAGGGAAGAGGGCAACAGGTTTTCAAATGCACATTGAAGACCTTTCTAGGTTCTCAGCCTATGAGCAAAGAGGAGAGTGGGTAACAGAGGTGAGGGTGTGGCTGCGAAAAAGGCAGATTTGATGGAGTCCTTTCCATGGAAGGGCTCTGAAAGTACAGGTAGTTGCTGCAGAGTCCAACAGCACACCTGACACAGGTCAATCTCCAGGTATTGCCTTCTAGAACCTGGCCCTTTGGTCCAGCTGAGGCCTGGAGCTACCCAGTTACGCAATCACATGCATGCCTTTTGAGGGCATTAAAACAGACTCCAGATCTTCTTTTCTGGCCCTCAGGGGTTCCCTCCTCCCAGCCTTTTCCAGCAGGATGAAGGGGTTTGTGTGACCCTTGCACTCATAAGGTCCCAGGGTCCTAAAACACCCCGTTTCTCGTCTTCTCCTTGTATGCAAGGTGGCACAGGAGCAAATAGTGGCAACTGAAGCGAGCCAGACTCTGCTCTTGATTGTGAAGAGGGATTGACACTTGCAGGTTGTCTAGTGCTTCTGAGGCCAACATCTGCTTTGTCGCCTCATAATACTGGTGGAAAAAAATAGAAAGAGAGACATTGCCAGATGAGGAGGTAGTTGGAATTCAAACGTGGCACTTCCACTCAGCATGAACTCTGGCTTCCGGACCCAGCAAGGTCCAATGACATGGGCCTCAAAACAGACTTGAGAGCCTCCTCTTTGTACCTTCAGACAAATGTTTCCTTTGGAAATTGTGACAGCAGCCACTTCCATATCCAACTCTGTTTTAGCTCCCAAAGAGTCAGTGTGAGGAATCCGTGGGAGAACACAAGGAGATATGCCTGGCAGAAATGCAGGCACTCACTAACGTCAATCAGGTGGTCAGTAAGTGTTTCCGTGCTTGCTATTCTGTAATTTAAAAACACCTACAGCTCAGGAATCCCAACACTTTATTGCTTTTCTTACGAATGTTGTAGATGAATTTCCCCTCAATCTTCTGCAAGCAAGCCTAGATGGGAATGCTGTAAGAGTCACCCACCCTCTCCATCAATCTGGTCCTCAAAGGGGCTGGCGTTGGTGGAGCAGGCCTTGAGTAGTGGGACCAAGAAACATTGATGCTCCTGTCTGTACTTTCACTCTATGGGTAATAAGTCATGGCCATAGGAAGGCAGGACTGACCAGAATGAAGAAGACAGAAAAAGGAATGACAGAGGAGGCCCACGTGCTGGGGAAGGCTAAACTCTCACTGAGGCAACCATAGATTCCAAACCACTAATTAAGCCATGGGGCTTCAAGAGTTCAAGCACATTTATGGGAGCAATGGGATGAAAGACGTAAATTTGATACAGGTAATACCTGCTGGGCAACTGGGTCAGGGGTCTCCAGAGCTGAAAGCACACTTGGGAATATCTATTGATCTTTGTTTTTATCTCATTATTATTCAATTCCTGTTCTGTGTGTTTTATAATATACATTATGGAGTACTATAGTAGTACATGTATATAATTTATAAATAAATATATTGCGGGGTGTATGCTCAAACATTTTCTGTTGATGAGGTACCCAGTCAAAAGAGCTTGGAGACCATCTAATTAGAATGGTAACAACAAAAAAGGACTCAACCAACCTACCTAGAGGTCCGGGGCCTGACCAGGGCCTCTGCCAGGCTGGCTTGACATAGAAGGGGAAGAATCAACTGTCCACTGGGAAAGCCCCTCTCCCACCATCATCCAGTGCCTGTTGTCACTTTGAAGGGTAAAATCATTTGCATTTTGGTGAAACAGGAAAAAAGAAACTATTATCATGACAATTAATGTACAAACCCACAACAAATCGTATCATAGTAGGAAGCCTTTGTTCCCAGGCCCTCCATCCACAATTAAAAAGCAAGTAGGGACTAGATTGTATCTTCTCATGTAATCCCCACAGCAATTGTGTGAAATACAGAAGAAATGGGGGCTCAGGAAGTATAGAAACACCTGTCCCTGAAAGGCAAGTCGGGACTGAAATGCAGCCCATGCCCTGCTCAGCAAGCCATCTACCCCAGGGGAGCAATGTCTTGTGCTAATTCTCACAAACGTGCTGTATGGATTAGCAATAGCCTTGCTTTTTAATTTTTGCTTTATTTGAATATAATTTTCTCATCAATTTTGCTTGTATAAATACAGTTTGTTGCTTGTTCTGGTTTAGCCTAATAATAAGTTGGAGAAGACCTGGAGAACGGGCATCATGGTGGGGTGGAAAAATGGGGTTCTCGCTTCAGCAGATATAGCCCCCCAAACACAGCACTCCGTGGATGAGGACTCAAAAGATGAATGTCATTTTCTGCCCCTGTGTCTCAGAGATGCCCTGAGGCTGTCTGACAAGGTGAGCTGTTCCACACAAAAAACAAAGAATTAATCACACCTCAGCTCAGCCTGTGTTGGGGCCAGTCTATTGCCTGGGTCCTGAAATGTGCTGCCTTGAATGTCTTCGTTGGACATGGTCATGCCTGAGACTGGAGTGGAATAACAAAATCCATTTGAATACAGCGATGGACGGTCAGAGATGTCCACACACATCTCTGTTCACCCTCACCTTCCTGCAAACTCTATTCATTTATTTATGGAGAAATTTAATGTTTCCCTCAAAATATCCTTTCCCTCTCAGAGAGTAATTTTGTATCCCCGTCATCAGGTAGCACTGAGAAAGGGGTCAGAGTTAGGCCTCTCTCGGGCTGTCCTTGCAGTACTCCTGGGATCCTTAAGCCTCGGTCTTGGGTTCCTTCATGGATTTGACAAATTCCTTGACTTCTTCTTCCAAGGCCTTGTTCCTCTTCTCAACATCCTCCCGGGAGCGCTCCATGTTGCGGAGGCTGATCTCTAGGGCTGCAAACTTCTTCTTTTCATTCTCCAGTTCTTCATTGAGCCTCACCACCTTAGCCCAAACGTCATAATTCTCCTTCTCAAGGCTACAGGGAAGGAAAGAAAAGAATGAAAGAATATGGCAATTCATTCTAGGCTCTTCCTTCCCCCTTGCTTACAACCTGCTGTTCATTTTACTTTACAAATCACAAGACCCTTATATAACCTCTCAGCTATGTCCCGATGATGAAGATGTCCCAGGAAACCTGAATCCCCACAGCACTTCTGAGCCCCTCCTTTGTCATTTAACACCATCTTGTGACATCTATTGTGTTTTGTTTTTTTTTTCATGTCATTTTGTTTTGTATCTTCAACCGGATAACAAAGTCTTTGAAAGAAGAGACCAGCTCTAATAGATCTACATATTCACTCCCATAGCACCTTGTATCAATCCTGGAAGCCCCATCCATATTCCAGATTTCTCACACCTCTTTTTCATGAGTGCCTCCTCATCCTGTGTCAATGGAGAGCACAGACCAGCACCCTGTCTTATTAAGGATCTCCTGGGGACCAAGATTTGGAGAAACAGAGAGAACTGCCCTTTGGGGAGCCGTGATCCTGGCAGTCTCACCCTCTCTTCTGAATCCCACGCCAGGTGAAAAATCTGCGGGATTCCTGAATTGCCAGGATTTTCATCGTTACTGGCCAAAATCCTAATGTAGTGGCCCCCTGCCAGGCTGTGCTGAATTAACTCTTAGCAATGAGTATACATATGCTGATTGTGTGACTGGAAATCTGTTTCAGAATTTCATTCTGTAGAGTGTGCCTCCCTTCTCTCCAAATGGCCTGCCCATTTGCACAAGGGAGACTTGAGCTCCCATGTGAGCCCAAAACTTGGGTTCTACCTTCAAGGGCTTTGGTCTATTCTGTGGGTAACAATCCATCTTCACAACTTTGCCTACCCCGCCTATCTCTTCTTAAAGCTAAATTGGTCTCATTCCTTCTGATCCTCTCATTACAAATCTACTTTTCTTCTCCAAGTTCTCTGTACCCCTCTGGTTCTGGAAGAAATTCCAAGTAAGGCACTGTGCTAGATCCTGACCATGGGTTCCAGTGGGAGGTGGAATCTGTGTGGGCTCAGGAGCCTGGGATGGGAGGCTTCCTCGACTGGTGGATTCAGAGGACTCTGTTCCATTCAGAAGGAGCAGCCACCTCTGTGGCAGCCAGTTCTTTTCCTACCCTGTTGAAGATACTCATGTTTGAGTGCAGCATGAGTTTTCTATGGGACTGCTTTGATCACTGCCGAGATGTCACAGAAGTCTTTAATTCTACAAATGATTGGTTTCCGGTTCTTAGATAAACAAGCTACATTTTGCTTCTGGATGGCAGCTCTCTGTGTGGAACAATGAATGAGGGCTCACAGAAGCCTTCCCTTCAGATACCCGAGTCTGCATGGACTAAGACGTAGCCATAAATCTAAGAGCCCATGAATTCACATTTCACTGCCTCATGACTAGTGCCGATATGGGCACAACTGGATCAAGGTTTTCTCTCCTGAAAACGAATTTGCTGGCCAATCAGTAGTGTGAAAAATATTTCAAGAAAATACTCTACTTACCCAAGAGAACAAAACAAATTGTGTGCACGGATCTTGGGAATTTGCATGTGACAGAGGCAATAGCTGCCTAACTGGCCTCCCACCTCTGTTTGCCCCCTGCGGCCGGTGCTCAGTGGGAAGCCAGTGAGCCAATGAAGCATAAACCAGGTTGAAACCACCCAGACTCAGGCTTTCCAGTGGCTGACAAATCCCTACGGCATCCTGGCCTCCTGTACTTCTCCACCCTCATCTGCTAATCACTCTCCCTGGCCTCAGGCGGCTTCCGTTCTTCCTGGGTGGGACCATCGGGGCCTGCTCCTTTCTCACAGCCTCAGCAGTGGCCATAGTCATCTCCCATCTACGCACCTGACTTGCTCCTCATCTCCTTCAGGCCTTTACTCACCTGCTGCCTTCTCAGGGAGGCCTTCCCTGATCCCCCTATTTTACATCGGAACCCGTTCCTTGAACTTTCCAACCTCCTGACCCACTTTATTTTTCTCCACAGCACTTGCCATCAGCTGACATAACATATATTTTATTATATATTTGTATTGTCCATCTGTCCCCACTAGAAGAAGTTCTGTAAGTGCAGGGACTTTTGTCTCTTTCGTTCAGTGCTATACCCTAACAACTAGAATGTGCCTGGCACAGAGGAGGGGCTCAAGGAATGTTTGCAGAATCCACGAATGACCTTAACATAAAAAAAATTATTTCCTTTAAATTAATTAAAGCATGTTGATTCTTAAAGAACCACTGTTTGGAGATTATTGATTAAGCTACTTAAGCTAGATACTGACATTTCCTAAATCTAGCCTAAAGTTTAGAGTGTTCACCAATTTAGTCATCTCATTGTTCCCTTTACTCTTTCCTTCCTAGACCTGCTATAGATTAGTGTCTTCCCCATACTGAAGCTCTATGATGTGATTTCTCTGGCGAGTGGGAACAATCCCTCTTATCTCCAAAGATGGAAGCCAAGTGCCTCTCAGTGCCCCTCTGTCTGACTTACTTTTTAATCTGTTCCTCATACATTTGCTTCTGTGTTTCTATTTCCTTTCGTAGCTCTTGGACCGTCCTCTGCAAAGAATCAAGTTTTTCTTCTCCAGAGTTCTTTTTTCCAGGCCCAGTTTCAGAGCTCGGACTGGCAAGAGTATCTCCCTTGGAGTCACAGGCTTGTGAAGAGAGTGCACTGGCTTCCTCCCGAGGGGACCCTGGCAGGGAAGGGACATTATCGTAGGTGGAAGTCCGCTGGGAGTCAGAAAGTTGGCGCAAGTCTTGAGACATCGTTCTCCTGTGCCCTTCCCCTGCCTTAGCCTCTGAGGAAGGCGACCAGAATTCATTTTTAAAGATCTCCATTTTGCTGCTATTGGCACCTTGAAAAGCTGATGTCAAGAAACATTTCCGGTTAGGGAGTGTTTGAGTCCTTTTACGAGGCTGCATCTTCCAATCTCCTGGCTTCTCCCTGGGTACTTTGCTGCTGTCCTCCGGAAATCCATCGCTTGGCTGCTGTCCGGTGGGGCTGGTTGTATCAGAGTCACTTGTCTAGAAAAGAAACAGACATGGATGTCACATGGGTTTTCACCTCTGTGTGTCATGCTCCCAAGGTAAGGATTAGAGACCCCAAAACAAATGTTCCCTGGGAGCATACCTATGAAATTCTTAATGTATCACATTAGTTGATTATCTGCACTGGCATTTTTTTCCAAAAGGATATTGCACTAAAGGAACCATGTTCTAGAGATGAAGTGCTCACCAAAATCAAGTGTTTGTTTGTGGTTAAAGAGTCCTAAAGTAGGATCCTTATGTAATCTTAGAATGGGTGGTCTCTGTAACTATGACTAAAAACCCGGAAGCCATAAAAGATTGATAAATTTGACCTTTTGATTTCCATGACCTAAAAAATTAAAAAGAACAAAAATAAAAACAAAGTAACAAATCACCACATACCAAACCAAACAAACAAACAAACAAAAAAAAACTGGCAAAAAGTATTTGCTATGCATATCAGACAATTGGTTACTCTCCTTAATAGATAAACATCATAAAAGTTGTGACGGAAGAGATCAACAAGCAATATAATTATGGGCAAAGGGCAAGATCAGGCAGTTCACAGAGGAAAAAATGAAGCTAGTCCTTGTACATAAGAAAAGATGTTCAGCCTCTCTAATAATAAGAGAAACTCAAATTAAAATTAAAATTACTGAAATGCCAGTTCTCACTTATTAGATGAGCAAACCCCCAAAATTTGACAACACATTCTGTTGGTGAAACTGTAGGAAAACAGCTCTTTCATGCATTGCTTCTGGAAGTGTAAAAAGACACAAACTCCAATAATTTGTTTCAAAATCACACAATCAAATCTATTTACCTTCTGACCCATCAAGCCCACTTCTGAAAATTTATTTGAGAAATACATCTGCCTGAGTACAAAAGGAGGTCCCAAGGTTATTTATTATAGCTTTGTTTGTAGTATGAAGAACTGAAAGGCTGGGTGCAGTGGCTGATGCCTGTAATCCCAGCACTTTGGGAGGCTGAGGAGGGTGGATCGCTTGAGCTCAGGAGTTTGAGGCCAGTCTGGGCAACGTGGTGAAATCCTGTCTCTACAAAAACTATGCCAAAAAAATTAGCCCAGCATGGTAGTATGCACCTGTAGTCCCAGCTACTTGGGAAACTAAGGCCGAAGGATTGCCTCAGCAGGAGGTCAAAGCTGCAGTAAATTGTGATCATACCACTGCACTCCAGCTTAGGCAGTAAAGTGAGATCCTGTCTCAAAAAAAAAAAAAGAAAAAGAAAAAGAAAAGAAAAGAACCGAAGGCAATCTGTTCATCTATAGGGACTGGTACATCTACAGAATGGGACACTATACACCTCCCAAAAACATGAGGTCATATGAGGTAGCTGTCTATGTATTGACATGAAAAAGTCTCCAGGATACACTGCTAAGTACAAAAATGCAAGATACAGAGTTGTGCGTAAGAGTGTGTGTATGACTGTATGTGTATGTGTGTGACTGTAGAGAGACAGAGAATTATAATACATTTTGTGTAAAAAAAGAGGTAAATAATTTACACTCATGTCTTCTTATATTTTCATAAAAGAACGTTGGAAGGATAAATAAGAAACTAAGGCAGAGAAGGATGGGGTGGGTGGGAGGGAGCAGAACTTCTCAATGTATACCTTTTCCTATCTTTTTGATTACTTGAACTATGTGCATACATTATATATATTTTTAATGAAATTATAAAGAAAAAGGAGACAGAATATGAGACCTAAACATAAAATCAATCATTTTTTGGCCTTTTGGCTAAGATCAAGTGAGACCTAAACATAAAATCAGACAATCGGGTTCAAGCCCTCCCTTTACCTTTGTAGCCAATCACTTGCTTCAGAAACCCCACCTGGAGTTAGAGGCACCTGGGTCCTGAAGGGAGAATTGGATCTGAGTCCTCTTCTATAACAAGCTAGTGCTACTACACTGGGCCAGTTGCTCAACCTCTCTGAGTTTCTGCTCCTCAGTAACACAATACGAATGACAAATTCTGCCTTACAATGTTATGTAACATGAGGACTCTAGAGGTGAGCAGTGTAAATTTCCCAGCATAGTGCCTACCCACAGAAATCAATAAATGGCAGAAACCTATTAAATGAGTACAATAATAGCTATTCTCAAGGACTGTGGGATGATCTTGTTACATGAAGTATGAGCGTTTTTAAATTTTATTTTAGTTTTACAGTGTTAGTAGAATGCATTGCATCCAGAAAGACCTATCCTAAGAAAAATCACAACTACCACCCACTACCTGCCTTTTAAAAAAATCTTCAGGGTTAACAGTACTGTAGGTAACTTGAATCATCTGGTCAACTAGAAATCTGAAATCCATTTTTTGGCCACACATAAAGATCAAGCTACTACATAAAGTCCACATGTTCTTTGTAAAACTATTTGTTCCTATAAATATATAAAAATATTTGACCTTTGTAAATTATTGCCCTCACATAGTCTACATTTCAGAGTCAGCAGAGCTTTTGGACATTGGGAACGTGAGTTTCAACCCTTCGGCACAAACGTGGGGGCTGACATGGCTGAGACAGCTTATCGAGGAATGAGAAATATTACACAAACACATCACATACTCTGAGAAAGGAATCACGTTTCATGGGTTAGCAGGAAACCAGTTTTCTCTGGACATTCACCCGGAATTTTCAACAATTCCCACCAAAACATTTACAATGTGGTATACATTTTTTCCCATTGAACTTCTCTGGACTGTATTTGAGCCTTTCTTTTAGAGTGGGCTTCAGTGAGGACCCTCATTGCTCAGTTATTGGGCGATTGGCACACTTGTCACTCACCCCCCTCAAAGATGCCAGTAGAAACTAGATTTGGAAAGAGGCCAGGCTTTCAAGGTGTGTTCAGATGAGTCTGTACCAGCTGTGCCCACTGACACTGCATCACCTAAAACTCCCCAAATTGCCATCCCAGAGCGGACCTTACGTGGGATGGCCTGGACTAAAGGAAGAACCCAATGGAAGCAGAAAGGTTCTCTGTGCCTTACCATGCTATTGAAGCTGTCTGTCCTAGAAATTCGGAGGTCTTCAGTGGCATCCCAGCCCACAGAGCTTCGGGCCACTGGAGCTTTCTTGGGGTCGTTTTTCTGGGCAGGGGGTGATAGGGGTATATCCTTGGACTTGGGGAAGAGGACTTCATGGTCTCTGATCATCATAGTCATCACTCTTTGGATCTGAGGAGTCCCTGAAAGAAAGAAGAAAAAGATCTATAGTGTAGTGTAGGAGGCAGGTAGTCAGTCCTCAAGGATCCCCACCCGTGGATGTCTCCAAACTCGGTTCTAAAACTACAAGGCCCAGAAGGGCCTCATTTTTCTTCTCAAAAGACCCTTTTTAATTGCTTGGAGTTGGAGATTATGTTGAAAGGGATGGAATACAAGGACATGGGAGAAGAATGAAAAAGGGAGCTGTTTCAGAGGGAGCCAATAGTCCACTGGATTAGTTTTTGATCAGGAAAGTAGGCAATAAAACAGCAGAGAAAATAAAGACATCTTTCTCTCCTGATGTGGTCCTCAATATGATCTATGGTTTCTCATCAGACACACAGCAAATATGTGCCAGGTTTTCTTCCCCCACGCCCATGGCAGATATCGGTACTCTGTGTCAGGACACAGCTTCAGAAGTCTGCACAGCACAGCTTTATAAGCAGCCTTTTTGTGGGCTGGCTCATAAAATGAAACCTGGCTGGGCACGGTGGCTCACACCTGTAATCTCAGCACTTTGGGAGGCCAAGGCGGGAAGATCACTTGAGGTCAGGAGCTTGAAACCAGCCTGGCCAACATGGTGAAACTCTGTCTCTACTAAAATTACAAAAATTACCTGGGTGTGGGGGTGTATGCCTGTAGTCCCAGCTACTCGAGAGGCTGAGGCAGGAGAATCACTTGAACCCAGGAGGCAGAGGTTATAGTGAGCTAAGGTCGCACCACTGCACTCCAGCCTAGGCAACAGAGTGAGGCTCCAACTCAATAAATAAAAAAATAACTAAAATAAAATGAAACCTGCTTGCTCAATCTGGCTTAGGGTATGTAAAAGTAATAAAAGACTAAGAAACACTGGCTAGCTATTTTTGTACTAGTCTACTGTACTGTGGGACCGTTGGGCAAACCCTTGACCTCTGTCCTTTGTTGTGATCTGAAAAATAGACACAATTCCTGCCCCGCCTACCTCACAAGGCTATTGCATGATTCAGATGAGATAGATAACCGGCTGAAAATGCTTGGCAAACTGCAGAGCAGTGCACAAATATCAGGGGGAGTGCTGTAATTGTTACTTCCTGTGTACCTGCTTTCACTATGGGACCAGCCATACCTCTCATGATCACGGCAGGGTCTTCGACCTTCGACCTGATGAGATTCACACCAATCACAGTAGCCAGGTTGTCCACGCTCATCTTGTTAACAGCACAGTTCAGCTGTATTTCATGTAGGAACCTGCAGGCAGCCAAGAAATCCCATGGTAGAAAGCAGGAAGTAGCCAGGAAGAAGCACTACAGGGTTCCAGCGAGAACTCAGGGATGGATCTAACACTTTCCTCCCAGTCTCAGGAATGAGACCAGCCTGCTCTGCCCACAAGAATTTAGCCTCATCCTGAAAGACCCAAGACCAAGGAAGGAAGAGAAACCAGGGGGGTCCTGCCCAGCTGCTGGGGTGGGGGTTGTGGGAGGTGGGTGGAATCACATAAGCAAGAGACAAGATCCACTTCCAGGACCTCAGAGTGGACTAGAAAAGGTAAAATGGGTATCTGACCATACCCATGTCTTGCCCTGATAGACTTATCTCCCAGCTCTCAGCACCCATCCCATCCAAGTCTCCAGAGAGGAAAACTTCATTGGTAAGACGATTTCAGGGCCGGGGAATCCATGGTGCCTCCTTGTTCTCATCCTCTGATTAGAGCACAAGCATTGCTAATTCTCAGCAGGTGCTCCATAACCGATACTGAATTTTTGCTAAAATTCTACCCCTTTTGAGGCACAAAGCTCTCAGATTCACTGTAAAAATAGGGAATTTCTAAATACACTCTCTAAAAACCATTTAAAAATGGATAGAATGAAGCAACACAATTTCAAATACAGAGCAATTATTAAATAAATGGTGATGTGTCCAAATGATGAAACATTATGAAATATTACGAAGTTATTCATAATCCAATTTTATGACATAGAGAAATGCTCATAATAAAACATTAAACCAAAAAAGCAGGATACAATCCTTTATATAATTTTGATTTAGAATAAAATATTATTCCCCTATATTTATATTAAGGTGTGAAAAGATCTATCATGGAGAGAAAACACCCAGAAGGGAAAATGCCTGAGTGTTAACAGTACTTATTGCTGGTGAAGGGATTGTGGGTCCTTTTTATTTCTCGTTCACCGTTTGCTGTATCTTCCTGGTTTCCAAGTCAAGCAAGTATGACTTTTATTATCTAGGAACTACAACAAATTACTTTTTAAAAATAAAAGACAAAATTCAGATCAGTCTGGGATGAAGATCCCAGTTCCCAGCCCAGCCCAGCCAGATCTGGGTCAATCCACAGCTAGAGTTGCCACAGGGGTGGTACACAGCAGGTCTCCAGAAAGGGCTGAAGGAAAATAACCAGGGTGGCCCAGAATGACTGTCTCCCTGGAGCTAAGCTATGGCTCAGAGTCACAAAGATGGGAGATCATTCTAGAATCATTATAAGGATTCTGGGTTCTCTTGCATGTCCCAGGACTCTGAGCAGTGCTGAGGCAGGCCTAAAGGGGGGAGCACGTTCATTTTGTGGGTCAACCAGGTTTTCAGAATCCTTGAAATTATACAGGAAGCTACTTCAGTGATACGTGAATACAGCTGATCTTCCAAAGTGCTGGACCAGAATCTCTGTGTTCACAGAGGTGGTCCCTCCTCTTCTAACTAGGAGCTTCTTTCTGATGGGGTTGAAAACTGTAGAGTTGATACCAGGGGCCTCTCACCTGCAGATGTAGCTCAGGAGACTATAGTTGTCACGAGGAAGGATGGAGAGCTGCTTCATCAACTCCTGCTGAGCCTGGGAAGAGATTTACACCAGTAAATCATTTACCAGTAAATGAGCCTGCCCACATGCCAGCAAGGAGACCCTGGAACAGAATTGGTGTATCTGTGAAGAAACAACACTTTGGCAGTCATTCCTGTCCCTGTAGTTTTGTGGGTTTAAAAAAAAAATTAGAAATAACTCTAAATTCTCTTATAATTTTTTTAAAAGGGTCATAGTTTTGTTTTTTTTTTTGACAAGGAGTCTCCCGCTGTCGCCCAGGCTGGAGTGCAGTGGCCGGATCTCAGCTCACTCTGACCTCCGCCTCCCGGGTTCACGCCATTCTCCTGCCTCAGCCTCCCGAGTAGCTGGGACTACAGGCGCCCGCCACCTCGCCCAGCTAGTTTTTTGTATTTTTTAGTAGAGACGGGGTTTCACCGTGTTAGCCAGGATGGTCTCGATCTCCTGACCTCGTGATCCGCCCGTCTCGGCCTCCCAAAGTGCTGGGATTACAGGCTTGAGCTACCGCGCCCGGCCAGTTTTTTTATGTATACTTTTTATTTATCTGTAACTATGACACTGCACCCCACCTTTGACTGTCAGCTACTCTAAGGAAGGACTGTTGAACAACTCATACGTTAATTGTTTGCTTAAGAATGCTTGAGATGTAACAATCCAATAAAGAATAAGACCACAATAAGATATCTCAGAATCACTTTAAGACTGGTGAGAAATGGAGGATTCTTCTGAGAAGGATTTCAAGCACTATGGCCTAACTGAGACCTGCTGGCTCACAGAGACAGGCAGACCAGGCTGGAGGACGGTGCATGGTCAGACTGTTCAAGCTCTGCAATGGGTGGCCATGCATGTCAGACAAGCTCTACCAGGAATGCACGAGCCAAAGAGAAGAGGGACAGCGAGCTTTTCCGTGTTCTTTTCAACCACAGCTGCCTGTAGGGTCTGTAGTCACCATATGCAACATGGTGCTTGTGAGAGTACACAATTCACTAGCCGGACATGGTGACGTGCACCTGTAATCCAAGCTACTCGGGAGGCTGAGGCAGGAGAATCGCTTGAAACCAGAGGGCAGAGATTGCAGTGACCAGAGAACGCGCCACTGCACTCCAGCCTGGGTGAAAGAGCAAAACTCCATCTCAAAAAAAAAAAAAAAAAAATAGAGAGAGTAAACAATTCACATGTGGTATGCAGGCACTCCTCAAACCTGAGTGGCTCTCCTGCAGAAAACGCACCCTCCAGCCTTATCAGCCTACACGGAGCAGCTTCTGTAGATGTTGACCTTCTTAGCGTAGCGTCAGCTTCATGCTAAGATCCCTTTGTCAGTTGAGTCAAGTAAATTCATTGCAAAGGTTGCTACAGACTCACCCCTCCTAGCTGCCACCTCTGCCATGTTTTCACCAGTGAGAAGGACGTTGGTCCCTGTGTGTAGACATGCATTGCCACAGATGTGGAAACTCTCAGAGATGCTGAGGTTGAGAAAAGCTGGGAGATGCAAGTCTAAAGTGAGTGCAGGGGTGGGAATCTTACTGTCAGAACGGCATCTAGGTGCTTCCTTTGCTTTCCCCAGAACCCAGGGGTGAGATGCAATCTGAAACATTTATCTTTTTAGCTGCCTTTTAAACATTATTCCATAAAATGTTATTACTTTCACAATAGTGAGCAGACACACCAGTATAAGTTAAGACTTTTCATATCCTCTTCTCCCTCCCCCAATAAAATTCTTAAGTTATGCACAAAATATCGTGCCTCAGATCCATGCAATCTAATTTTTGTTTGGAAAAGAGCTACAAAACCTGTATCATGTTAGCCACATCATTATTGTTCTCTTCCTTTCCTGAAATATAAAGTCAACTTTTCTCTTATGTCAGGATCTATTCAAATCATGATGCTCCCCCCATCCTCAGTCAGGGATGGAAGTTCTCACAGCTGTGTTTTCTTACAGGGCTAGGGTGCTATTTCTTCATTCATTTTAAATAAATATATTCTATGAAGCAGGCTATCTCATACATTCTGAAGTATGGAAGATAATAAACCTTCCCTTATATTGAAAAAAATGTTAAAGTCACCCACCAGTATCATATCCCTGGGTCCTCAAAACAATCCTAGGCATGGTATGATATTATCATGAAAATTATCTAAGTTTGTGCTGTTCAATATAGCAGTTACTTGCCACATGTAGCTACTTAAATTTAAATCAAAATTAAATAAAATTAGGAATTTGGCTTCCCAGGTGCAGTAACCACATTTTAGATGCCCAATAGCCATGTGTGGCTGGTGGTTACCATATTGAAAGGTGCAGATATATAAAAGTTCCATTACCATAGAAAGTTCTATTGGTCAAAGTAAATAAACTGAGTCTTATAAAAGATGTATAATCTGTATAATGGAAAAATCAAAGTTAAATCTAGGTCTTCATTATAGATTTTTCTGTGCACCACTTTGCCAGAGAGGGCTTTTAACATAGTCATTGATATAAACGTAAACTTCTTCATGGATCACTTGGATTTGAAAATCTTGTTTAAAAATCGTCGAGGTTTATTGTTGTTGGTTGGGTTTCATCAGTTTCTTTGGTTGGTTGGTTGATTACAATAACATGAATACAGTGTGATCCCTGTTGACTACAAGGCCTCTCTAGAAATAACTTACACAGGATAAAAAATCCTGCTGGTGAACTTGTGCACTCTCACAAGCATATTGCAGATGGTGGTTACAGACCCTACAGGCAGCTATGGCTAAAAAGAACAACAATCAAAAAACCTTCCCTATCCTTCTTCTCCCTGGGACATGCATTCCTTGGATGACCACACCTGACACTCAAGTTGCTGTGGAGCTTGAACTATGTGACCTCGCACCTGCCTTCCAGCCTGTCGTTGTGTCCCAGCAAGTCTCAGCAAGGCCATCGGGCTTAAAACCCTCCTCCGATGTATCCTCCTTTTCTCCCTACTTTTAATGTGACCCAGCAGTATTTGATTATGGTCCAATTCTTTACTGGATTATTACATCTCATGAAGGCTGTGGTTTGCCAGTCATCATGATTGAGTTCATATGCCTTTTGTCGCTGAGGAAGTTGCATTTTGACTATCTTACGAAAAAGTATGGGCCCCTTGACCCACTGTTGTCTACTGGAATAGTGTCCAGAAAACCAATCACTTTCTTCTAAAGCAGGACAACTAACTCTAAGATGCAAACCTTTGCCTCGTCCGCATTCGTGAGCTGTCCACAGAGCAGGAACCCTTCGTACTGGCTCCAGGGAACCACGGGCTCTGGGAGGTCTCGTAGGTAGAGCTTTAGCAGGGAAGCCACAGTGTGCACATCTGTGTCTCTGGAAGAAAAGAAGCAATGCTCTTTGAAACCTCTTTGAAAGAAAAACTTTAGGATGTTCGTCACTTCCATCCTGATGATTCAGTGACTAGAACCATAAATTACAAAGGGAAATTTTGCAGAGGAGTAGAGTCTGATAAAGAAGAATCAGACCAAAACATCGTTGCTAATTCACCCTTCTGGAACAACAATGCTGAATACATGTTCCTCCATCTCTTCCACCCAACTACCTCAAAGGTAAGTTCAAGGTCTACATTTTTACCAAACCTTCCTTAATGATTTTCATCTTTATTGCTTTCTTCTTTCTTCAAGTCATTTTAGTGCCTCTCAATTAGCATTGTCTAATTAGTCTCTAATATTGCTTATGTTAACTCCTTTATATCCTTGGTCCATTCATCTCTTTAATCTTCCAGAGTGCTTAAAATAGTTCTGAGGTTCACTCACGTATTTGCTCAATAATTCACTCAATCAATAAGCATTGAGAAAATCTATTTGTGCAAGATACTGCAAGATACTTGTCAAGCACTGGGATTTCAGTCGCCAATCCCAAAGACATCAGTAGCCATCCAGTCCAGGGATGGAGCCCTGGCCCCATCAAGTCACAAAGCTGTGGAGACTCAAGCATTATAAGGTCCTTACAATACTGTGTGGTTAATGCCATGATATGGGAAGCCCAAGACTCAGGATCCTACGGAAGTGTGGAAAAAGAACACCCAAGGCAGAGATGGGAACATGTAGATGACTTCTCAGATGAAAGAGTACCTCAGATGAGCTCTGAAAGGCAGTGAGGAGTTAGGGCATGAGGCAGGCAGCCTGTGTGTCAGCCTGGAGCATGAGAAGAGAAGGCCTCGCCATGGGCCTGACTGACTGAAAGAGGCATGGCTCTTCAGTTCGGCTTCTCCATTTACAGGAGGGCTTAGTAAGTCATGGGCCAGGAGCCAAATCTGTCCCACTACCTCTGTTTGTACAGCCGGGGAGCTAAGAATTATTTTTACATTTTTAAATAGCTGGGGGAAAAAAACACTCACAAGAAGAAGAGTGTGTCATGATGTAAAAATTGTAGGAAATTCAGATGTCAGCATCCGTAAGTAAAATTATAGAATGACACCACCACACTTGTTCATTTATGTACTGGGCAGAGTATTATAGTTGCGGTAAAGGCCATCTGGCCTGCAAAGCCTAAATATTTAATATGTGGCCCATTAAGAAAAGTTTGTTGACCCCTGGCTTACAAGGCGGTTGCATTGATTCTGCAGTGCTGCAAGAGAAAATAAGATTCGCTACCATATTCCTGAAGTGGATTATTGAAGAAATGTTTGTTTATTTCATATTGATAAAACCTGGCATTCTTAGGTAGCAGCCTCGGTAGCATTGTGAAAAGCTGTGATGTGGCAAGAGGTCCAGAATAACCTTGGAATGTCCTTGATTTCAGTGATGAGAAATATAGAATAGGCTGGAGGACATGTCTCCTGGTCCTAGGATGGAGGGGAGGGGTGGATCTGGACAAGAGGAGGAGAAGGGAGGCATCTGAGGCAACAGAAGCAAGAACACTGGGCTTGATTGTAAAGCTCTGTCTTGGTGCTCTGTGTGCATTTTTTTTTGGTTTTGACAGCCAGTTTGTGGAGCTGTCTTCTGAAAAGGCTCCCCTCTCTGCAGCCTGTGAACTGTACCTCAATAGGAGAACACGGGCTGGCACAGAGCCCACTCTATGCTCCATGGCTGACCTCAGGAAATCTGGAGTAGGAACCGTTCATTTAACATGGGGATTCTGGAGAATCCTTCCCTGCTGAGTCACTGCCCAAAATACCTGATGCAAAGCCAGGCTAGGAAAAGTACTTTTGTCAAAATATGTTATGAGAAGTTCCTGAGAAAGTGGCAGCAAGACAGTCAGCTGACAATTTGCAGGAGCAGAATTCTCCCAAAGTCCAAAAGTTGCATCCTCCTCAAGTCCCTACACTGCAGTCCATCCATTTGTCTCTATCAGCATCCTGGGACTCCCATTTGATTGGGACCTCTCCTTCACCCCCATCCAACCAGTCTTCCAAATCCCTTCAAACCTATTCTCCTAAAGTCACGCTGATGTTTGTAAGCCCCTCCCCTCCTTTCACTGCCCTATGCCTCCAGATTCTATGCTCTGCCCACTCTAGGGCACAGCCCTGAACACCAAAACACACCAACGGAATGAGTGAAGAAAATAGAGTTTGAAATGGAAAAAACAGCATAAATGGTAAGTCAAGAAACTGGATCCTGGCTGGGAACAGTGGCTTACGTCTGTAGTCTCAGCACTTTGGGAGGCTGAGGTGGGTAGATCACTTGAGGTCGGGAGTTCAAGACCAGCCTGGCCAACATGGCAAAACGCTGTCTCTACTAAAAATACAAAAATTGGCTGGGCCTGGTGGCAGGTGCCTGTAATCCCAGCTACTCAGGAGGCTGAGGCAGGAGAATAACTTGAACCAAGGAGGCGGAGGTTGCAGTGAGCCAAGATCACACCACTGCATTCTAGCCTGGGTGACAAAGTGAGACTTGATCTCGGAAAAAAAAAAAAAAAAAGAAACTGAATCTTTTGAAGAGAGACAACAACAATAAAAAAGACACCTAGACAGTTTAATCAGGAGAAATTTAGACAGCAAAAACATCCATCATTAGAAAAGAGAAAGGGGTTATAAATATAGCTACAGCATGGATACTTCAAAGTAATAATAAAAGAACACAATTAGCTATATAAATCATCTTACAACACTGAAACTTACAGAAAGCTTCCCAGTTCATTTCACCAAAAATAAATCTGACAAGCCATGCCCACTGCTGGGCCTAGCTAACTCCTCATTCTTGTTTATTGGGTCTCAGCTTAAATGTCATTTTCTTGGGGACCTCCCTAAATACACCAGACCATGTGAAAAGCCCCTCTTCTAAGTTTTCACAGTATACACCAGACCATGTGAAAAGCCCCTGTTCTAAGTTTTCATAGTATTGAGTTTCCTTTTTAGCACTCAACACCATGGAACTTATACAATTATTTCTATAAATTTTTGTTTTACTGTCAGCACCCCATTGTACTAGGGCTAACTCAGACGTCTATTTTATGGTCTAAATTTGTAACATTATTTTTTCGGAGTTTGCTGTTCCTCTAATCCAACAGAACACCCTTAAATTATTCTTTTTTTTTTTTTAAATCAAGGGCTAAGAGCAGGTCAGGAGCCAGGTGGCTTCTGGGTTCAACAACTGATGCACTAGGGATTACCCAAGACTCCTCAGATGGTTCTGCCAGCCCTTCCCTGGAGGCATTGATGCTTGTAATGTGGCATGTCTGTAGGTGCATTTCTCACAGACACATAGAGGTGAGAAATGTGTTGGCTTTGTAGCTAGGCAGTGTCCATCCTGGTAGAAACTTGGCAAGGAGATTTTAAAGTTCACATTTTTGTGTCTAAGGAGACCAGATAGACCTGCACTAGTCTCACCAAACAGATCCTTTGCTCATCTTCATTCTAGTGAGGTAATGGGGGCATCTTGGGGTGGAACCCAGCACATAACCAATGCAGAGGATCTGGGTGAGTTCCCATAGCCGTGAAGTTGGGGACACCAGGAGGGGGCTTCTTGCTCTCCAAATACCCCTTCTTCCACCCACTGACTCCTACAATTCCTTTTATAGGAGGTAGAAAAAGTTACAACTGTAGCTTCTCTCTCCTGGTCTGCTCTGACTCTGAAAACCCTCCCTTTCCCCCTTTCCCCCTTTCCTGCCCTCTTTCCACCCCCTTTCACACTGCCCCTCTGCTGAACTCCCACACACAATTCAGGTTAACACTGTCTCAAGGTTGGTCTCTTCCTCTCCCACTCCCAGGCCAGATTCACTCTCAGGAAATCATCTAACACTGGTCCCTTTCACTTCAGAGTTAATTTGCCAGTTTTGTTGACCTCTCTTGAGTTACTGGCTTTGTCAATTCTATGATTCCAAAGTCAGGCTGATCCCTGTAAGCCCTCCCCTCCTTTCCCTGTCCTATGCATCTGGCATTCTATGCTCTGTCCCTTGCAGGGCACAGCCCTCAACACCAAAACACACCATGGAATGAGAAGTGGGGGAGTATAAAAGGGGGTGGAGAGAGGGCAGGAAAAGGGGAAAAAGAGGGTTTTCAGAATCATGAGTGGAATAGGAGAGAGAAGACCTGGTCTCTCCTAAATATGCTCAAATGTAACTAAATAATAAGAATCAAATAAGAGCCAGTCACACCTCCCAAATCAGACTTGTCCTCTCAAGGGTTTTGTGGACCTAAGAGTTGCCCCTGCGAAGCCCCTAAAAAGCCCCCAATGACTCTTCCTATTTCTGGATGTGTAAACTCTACCCCTCACTTCTAGGTGTGGAGATGTCACAAGGTAAGGTAATTTTCCTCCTTCCAGTCTCAAATATTTCAAAATAATCAACAATTCCCACACCAACACCCACGCCTACTCTATAGTGCATAGGCTAGAGCCTAAGGCAGTTATTTGGCAAATCCTAGCAATCACCTCTATTCCTTTTGGCACATTGTATGGCATTGCTCTGGCAACAACCCCCCTGTATCTTTCACCAGGCCAAGGCTAACCAAAAACATAAAAAGAAACTGAATATAAAGGTGGTGAGCACAATGGAACAAGCGCCTGATATTAAAACGCAGTTGATGGTGCTGCTGAAAGTCCCCGTGTTTAATGCCCATAATGGGCTGTTGTTCCAATAAGAACCCCATCTCTTGCTTCCTAGGGTGCTAAAATATAGCACCTGTGGGAAATTATCTTATTACTTATTAGGGGTAGGAAAGACACCCCTGTGGTTGTCCAAACTACAACCGTGGCCATCAGCGTGGAGAGAAACAAATAGATCCCAGAGAAGCTTTGGAGGAAAAACAGGCAGCGTTGGTGATTAGAGTGAGGGGTGAGGGAGCTTCCACACAAGATGACACTTAGGTCTTCACAATTTTCTCAGAATCAACCCAACCCCATTGTCCAAAATAAGCTTGGCAACTTTCGTTTTTGGAAACTGGATAGAGTTCAGGCCCATCTTACTAAACCTTGGTTTATGGGCTCCTAATTTGGAAATAGCAGTCAAACTTATGCCAGCAGGACAAGTTCACACAGGCAACTGGGGAAGAGACTGCACAACATCAGGTGGGGATTTTACTAGCTGAGTGTGGCAGAGAAGGAAACCTCAGCTGAGTGACTGGAGAAGGTAGGGAGGAAGCGGGTGGTGAGAGGAAATGTCACTATGCCTCATATGCCCCAAACAGGGCTGGGAGACCTCCACACAGAAGACTTAGGAACGCCAGGCTGCCAAGATATCAGGATATGCTCCTGCAAAAGGGCTCAGAACTGAGTCAGAATCACATGGTACTGTGATCTTGGAAACTAACAAGAAGTCCTGGTTATAGCCACTTCTGGAATGCTAACGAAAGTCGCTGGTGCCCTTGGATATGGATCTGGTGCATTCTCCACCACACCAAGTATTTGTACAGCCAGCTCCACTCTTCCATGTTCCTCATCTGTCCTGAAGGGTGGGCCTCAGGTTAGGTCCCATTTTTCTCCCCTCCTCTGCACGACCCCTTCTCCTGTGCCCTAAACATCACCTGAATCTGCCCAGCAGGATTCCAGTTGTGGTTCACATGATCTGTCACATAAACTATCTGCATACTCTCCTAACTGTGCTCCAGTCTCCCAAAATCCCAATCATGAGCAAAACAAAGGCTCTTTCTGTTGCAAGCCAGGGCTCTTAGAAGTGTCTATGCAAGTCCCATAGCTCAACTGGAATGGAGAGGCCCTCCCAGCCAAGCCAGGCAGAGGGGAGGGCAGAGGTGGGACACTGCAGCAGGGCAATGTACCTGTCAAAGGAGGGCCGCTCCCCAGCATCAAAGGCATCTCTCAGCTGCTTCACCAGGTTGTCCTGCCCAGGCAGACGGAAGATGCCCTCTTCATTCCGGCCATGCTCCAGGATGAACTCTGCACATTTCTCCACCAGGATGGGCACCAGATGGGGGCCGAATTTCTGTTCATAGGCCACAGTCTCATCCAAGCGCTGGCCAAACACCGCTGAGGAGAGAGCAAACAGAACCAGCCCGTCATTCTGTGCTTCCTTAGATGAACTATTTCTTGACTTTCTGTGTCACCTGTGACTTCACAGGTTTTATTGCAATGATACTAGACAAAATGTGGGAGACAAATCACTCATAATATTTCTTGAAACTATAAATACTGGCCTGTAAATTTGAGGCAGTCTTTGTCAGTCTTTTTATATTGACCCACATTTCTTACATATGTAAAATAATGACTGGCTTTTACTGAATACTTTTTGCTGGGAATTGCATACTTTTTGTCCTTTAATCTTGACAGCAACTCTATGAGGTGGTATTAATGTCACACTCACCTTACTGTTAAAGACACTGATCCTTAGACACGTGCCAAGGTCAAGCAGCTCACAGCATGGCACAGTTGGGATTCAGGCCTAGGCAGTGAACTCCCAGCAATGTGCCTTAACCACGGCAGCAAGCAGGCCGCTTTGTGTCCACTTGCGTCAGAGAGTAGTAAAGCATAACACAGTAAGGCATCCCCCCTTAGCCACAGTCAACTGCGGTCTGAAAATATTAAATGCAAAATTCCAGAAACAAACAATTCATAAGTTTTAAATTGCACGTCATTCTGAGTAGCATGATGAAATTTCTCGCGGTCCCGCTCAGTCCAGCCTGAGATGTGAATCATCTCTTTGTTTAGTGTATCCACTTTGCATACACTGCTTGCCCAGGAGTCACATAGTAGTTGTCTCAGTTATATTTAGTAGTTGTCTCAGTTATAAGACTGAAAAGACACAGCGCATATAGGGCTCAGGACTATCTGAGATCTCAGGCATCCACTGCGGTCTGGAAACATATACCCCAAGGATAAAGAGGGCCTACTGTAGTCTATCACATAGATGTCTCATAGCACTAAACCACTGTGGAATTTAAAATAATTTAGGTTGTTTACTACGTCCTAATTATAGACATTGCCACAGCAGACATGTTCATTCACCTGGCAGAGATCCTGGAATGTATGCAGTTCAATGCATAATTTCTAATTAATTAACATTTGGATGCATGAACAAAAGCGTTTCATTCTTTTGAACTACTTCCTCAGGACAAATTCCCATGTGTAGAATTACTGGGTCAAGAGGTTTGAACATTTTTATAACTTGATGGTATGCAAATTGCTTTCCAAAAATATTTTCCCAAATTACCCTGCCTCCAGCAAAGCAAGTGTGGGCCAGTTCCACCCTAGCTCCGTCCGAGTGGAGAAACTTTGCTCCACAGTCTCCCCGCCCCAGCAGTGTGAGGACACGAGTTTACAAATCAGGATCACCACTGCCTACCCATTCTCCCACCAGGCTTCCAGGCCCTGGAGGTTCAGAAGACAGGCCGTGGCTTCTGTCCTGTCCTGCTTGACTTTCCCTCTGCCATAATCAGGGCTCTGCTGCACCCGGCACTTCAATCCCTAGGACATCCGTTTGCAAAGTCACTTGACTCTCCCCATGATTCTCTCTCTCAGGTTGGTCCTCTCCATCCCATCTCAAGTTCCTGTGGATTCCACCTGTATAGAGCTGTACCAGGCTCTTGACTTGCATGTTCTTTTCCGCTCCCACCCACTACCCAGGCTAGGCCAGCCTCCTCTCTCACCTATAACTGCTGCAGTCTCTTCTCTCTATCATGTTTGAAACCCTCCTGCTGCTTGCCTTTCTAGAGTACCGCTCTGCTTGAGTGCCCTTCTCTTGGTTTTCAGTAGTCATCTGCTTCTCCCCCAATTGCCTCCGTGATGTTTTTCAAATAGACACGTAAAGCCCTGGCAGTTTGTCAGGGCCTCCTCTTTCATCACATCAGGTGTTGGGAGGCGAGAGTGGAATCTAGACGGAGCTGAATAGGAGGCCTCTGTGTTCCCCACTCCCACCAAATCTGCTTGGCTGTTGTTCGTTTCACTTATTGCACTGCAGTGAGACTGTGATTAAATACTTCTGTGGCTAAAGTTTGAGAATCAAGGCTGGCATTCCTCAAGGCTTGGCACCCACCTGCTTTCCTGGCCTGATGTCCTGCCATGCCCCGAGAGGCATCACACCCTGACGTTTCCAAAACATAATGCTCTGCAGTCTCCATGTCCTTGAACAGTCTCTTCTCCCTGTCCAGTCTGCTCTCCCCCTTCCCTGGCGGCGCCAATTCTCTTTGTCCTCCTTGGCCCCTCTCAAATACCATCATATCTGCCATGCCTTACTGACACCCAGATGGAGAGACTACATCTTACACTGTGCACCAGATTGCTTCTTGAATATCCCAATCCTTTCCATACTCTGTGATCATGATTTGTATGTACCTGTGTCGTCTGCATGATTGTAAGCCCCCCACTACTGGGAATAGGAGGAAGGGCTGTTTTCATCCCCAATGTCTAGCATAACCCCTGGCAAAAGGTAGACAGTCAATGACTTTTGCCGAAGGATTTAATGAATCAATGTGTCTTTAAGCAAGTATTTTCCATGACTAATGGTTATTCGGCATTTCTTTAGTTTAAACACTAATAGGAATCTCCTGGTATATGAATTCAGCTTCACACTAGCATGCATTGAGTGCCCTGCCATGTGCCAGCACCAGGCTCCATGGAATGGGTTGTACATACAAGGGGCATGGAAGACCTGGTTCATGCTTTTAATGAGTTTGCCATCCAGTTATGAAAACAACATAACAGATGACTGTCTGCCTTTGAGGGGTCACACAAAACGTAGTGAGAAACAATTAGAAAATTTCAATAGCCATATGGAATTAGGTTTCTATTTGTCTGTAAAAGGAGCTGGACACATCTTTTCACCAAATTGATAGGACATGACTGAAATAATCTGACTTAAAACAGACCACATAGCATCTGGAAAGTTCTCTTTGAGAGGTCCAGAGAGGGGCCCTTCAATGGGAGAGGCAGATGTCTCCTGGAGCAGTTGAAACTCAGGCTCCAGAGGTCCACTGGACTTGATGGGGAAAGATAGCACAAACACAGTGTAAGGATGTGCACAGAGAAGTCAAAGCTTTCAGATTCAAGCTCCATTTCTGAGGTCTTATAGCAGATGCTCCACCTTGCAGCTGATTTGGAGCCAAGCTCCTTAATGTGTGTCTAGTCCTCTAGCTTTTCTCCTCATCCCAGTCTATCAGCCTTGTCCTGCCTTCATCCTCTATTCCTCTCACACCTCAAATGCAGCCCTTTTGATATTAATCTCACTCATACTTTTTTTCTTCAACATCCCCACCCTGCTGCTTCCTACTACCCTCTGCATGCCTTCATCAGGCCATTGAGAGCTACAAGAGACCACGCATAACACATTGTGGAAATTTATCCTTCCAATCTCTGCAAGACATTGGTTCCAAATTTTCACCACTCCTCTTGAGCTCCCCACCCATTCCCTCCCTTCTCTGTCTCAACAGGTGATCTTGGCTCCTCTTTCCTTCCATTACCAAACGGAGGGTTATGAGTGAACTCCCTCATCTCCAGTCCCTGCCTTTCCCATCCTTTCTCCTCTGTGTTCCTGTTTTCTCCCACAGGAAGAAAAGGGCCCTATCTTTCATCTAGGATGATGCCTTCCTGAACTGTGGGTTCCATTCTTTCCACCTCTTCCAGTACTTACTCTTTCTCTTTGTATCTTAAAATTTTCTCTTTCAATTGAAAGATCCCACGTGAGTCTAGGTCTTTGCCATTTATGAAAGAATAATCTCCCACCTCAGCTCTCATGCAAACAACCAACATTTGCTTTCCTTCTCTTTACCATATACTTGTAAAAAATTGTGTCTACTTCTAGAGAGATGTCTGCCCCACTTCCTCACTTATCACTCACTACTCAGCCTCTCAACCCATCACAATCTTGTTTCATTAGCCTGCACTTCTTCACTAAATCTGCTCACTAAGATTTCTAGTGCTCTCCTAATGTTCATTCCACACCCTACTTACTGATCTTCTCGGAAGACTGATGTTACTTCTCCTTCCTCTTCAATACTTTCTCCCTACATTGCAATAAATCCAACCATTCTTGTTCTATTCTCATGTCACTGATGACTCCTTTCAGTGTCTTTGACTGTGCTCCATCTTCCACCTGCTCCTTTGGTGCATCATTTCCTGGGATTCCAACTCAAGCTTCTTTTCTTCTCACTCTAGTATTCTCCTTAGGAAAGTGCATATGATTTCACACATTTAGATATCACCTATAAACTTATAACTTATTAATCTGCATATCTGGTCCAGATCTCTCTCTCTCTCTCTCTATATATATATACACACACACACACACACACACACACACAAAATATACATATGTATATATATGGATATATGTGTGTGTATATATATATACACACACACATGGATAGATAGATATAATTTATGAAAGAATAATCCTCCACCTCGGCTCTCAAGCAAATGATCAACATTTGCTTTCCTCTCTTTACTATTATACTCATAGAAAAATGTGTTTTATTTTATCTTTATATATGTAGCTATATCACATCTATTTCCATCTTTTCTCTCTCTCTCTCTTTTTCTCTCTCTCTTTCTCCTCTATAACCATAAGTTCAATGACTAATGGCAATTCTCCCAGTATCTTCTCTAATCTCACTATCATCCCATCCCTAAATCACTGCTTCTCCTGTAGCCTTCCTCAAAGGCAATAGCATTCATTCCATCACTCAAGCACCAGGTACTCTCCTAGGCACTGAAAATGCAAAGCCAGTAATACAAGGTACCTGAACTTAACTAATCCAATTAGCAAAATTGTGAGCATTAGAATTATCTGCAACACTCTTCACTCTCTCCAAATAGGTTGGTACATTCTTCTTCTTCTTTTTTTTTTTTTTTTTTTGAGATGGAGTCTCACTTTGTTGCCAGGATGGAGTGCACTGGCGTGATCTCAGCTCACTGCAACCTCCTTCTCCCGGGTTCAAGCAATTCTCCTGCCTAAGCCTCCCGAGTAGCTGGGACTACAGGCACCCACCACCATGCTCAGCTGATTTTTTGTAGTTTTAATACAGACGGGGTTTCAC